TATTCTTTTTACACTGTTATAAAAATCAGATTTGTTAACATGAGTTTGTAGTATGTTAATTTTATATTGTAAAATTTTAACATATTTTTTTGTAGAAAACAAGGGTTTGTAATTATTTTAACAAAGGAAAATAGTTTACCGAAAGTTTTATAAAGGTAATATGCATTTTGTAAGCATTTTGTTAATTTTATAGGTTACAAATTATTTCGTTAAAAAAGTACGGGATTTCAGGCAGTCAATCAAAACATTTCTCATTTAGAATACGCATTAACAAGTTTAACTAACTGTATGGTTCGGAACACAAACGAAATTATAATTCCTCTTCCTTATATAGGTTTTGGAATCATTTACTGCGGTGAGACGAAAGTAAGTGGTGCCATCTACCGTCTTTTGACATGTTCTTTATGTTATATGTTTAAGACGGTAGATGGCACCACTGACTTTCGCCTCACCGCAGTAAATGACTTCAAAACCTTTATAAGGACGAGAAATCATAATTTCGTTTGTGGTCTGCTGCAGTACTAATGTTCCAATAGAGGAAACAGCTTTTTATCGATGCTGGTGAGGAACAAAGATAATATAATACACCCCATAGATTGGAAACTGCACTAGCGCTAGCGGCAAAAGGCTAAAGTAAATTGACGCCATCTAGGTCTACAATACCTAAGCAAAGCTAAAAATTGAAGTAGATTTCTGTAACATATATTGGCGCCATATTTGAATGTTGATGCTTCGTAGGGTGCCTTTATATATTGTATTTACTGCTGTATTTTAAATAAAACAAGTATGAATATAAGATTTATTTATTTCAGTAATAATATAATATAAAATAAAATACATACATATATATGTATGTACATATTAATTACATAATCGGTATACATGAATTTTTGTTTGGGGGGTGCAAACCTAAAAAATATTAGTCTTAATTCTTCAATAATAAGGGAATATTGTAAAATTTGGTAATTTAGTCCAGGCTCCTTATACGATTTTAAACTTAACATATAGGAATTTGTACAAGGCTTTTGTGTGTGGACTTTTGGCAAGTTCTAACCAACCGTGAAAAATGCATTTTGCCAACACTTGGTTTTGGAACAACCATAAGTAGCCTGTACTAAATTACCATTAAACAAGCAATCCTAAATAATTCATAATTTACAAACAGTATTTTTACGCTAGAGCGATACTGCCGTGCTAAGCCAAAAAGACGCCTCCACATTTTTACTTTATAAATTATAGCGGTTTTTGTTTTTTTCATAAGATACGTTCAATATAATTAGCAATTTTTAAGAGCCATATAGTACTGTATAGTTAAAATGCATCTTTTTTGTTAATAATAATAATGAGATGAGTCTTTTTGGCTTAGGACGGCAGGATAGTCAATACTTACAAATTGGTTACATTTCCGCACCCAACAACAACATATTTCTCGTTCACGTTTTATCACTTTTAAGTTGCAAAAATGTATTTAATAATTCAATAATTATGATCTACATCAATAATTATGATTGACATTGACATTTGCAAATAGTGATTGTAAAGATGTCTGCAATTTACAAATAGATATAGTTTAGGTATTGTAGCTCTAGATAGCAGTGGTGGGAGAGTTTCCAATCTATGGGGGTGTTGTACTGAAAAATTATATTGTACCAAATATCTTTATAATTTGATGATTTCAGAATTATGTTATTTAATTGTGTGTATGTTTTTTTTGAGTTTATTTATGTATTTGTTAATTTTTTTGTTTAGGAAATTGGCTAAAAAAGCAACATTTCTTATCAAAATTCTTTTCAATTAACTTCCGAGAGTTACAAAAAATACTTTTGTTACTGGGTCAACAAAAATGTTGTAAAAATACAAAATTACAAGAATTATGGTTAAAATATTGACATAGGATTTTGTTATTAAATCTACAAAATGTACAGTTGATTGTAAACTTAACATAAAGTTATGTAAACCTGGATTAACATAAAAACTAGTTAACATTTTGTTAAAATTAACAAATATTTTTTTACTGTATACAAAAGGTAAAAACACAGATGTCTCACCTTAGACTGGAATAATAATTATAATTATTGAATTACACGATTTAATAATTCTTCGTGTGCGTTCCACAAGGTTTCAAGTACATTTTTGTAAATTTTACAGTAGAGCAATTTTTATAGCAAAATATAATTTATAGTGGAACTTACGCAATGAATTGTCACTCGCAGTGAGAGAAAGCAAAAGCCCCCTTTTACAATAATTGTTTACATATTGTAGAGATGCATATTGTTAAGGCTGTCTCTGTCAAAACACATCCTAAAATTAATTAACCCGCTAGTGCATGCAATTCTAATTAACTAATGGGATAAGTCTCTATTTTAGTACCTACTTAGGTACTAAGATTGATTATATAGGGTTTACAAGTTAACAAAACAATAATACTAAACGCACTTTTGGAAGTTGTTAAAAATAAATGTGTTTTTTATATACTTCCTAAATCGATTCCCAATAAATTAAATTCAATTATTGATAGTTTGGTCTGATAAATTTTTCCTAAATGGCATCTTGCTTAACTTGCGTATGCATGACAACATTTTATATTACATGACAATTTTTTGTTAAACTAAAATATTTTATGAATATCAAAAAAATAAACTTCTAGAGCAATTTCGAAAAGGTTAAATAATTTTACCATCCAAATATGCTTTTAATCATTCAACATATCAAACAAACATTGTTTTGCTATTTATTTTCAAATATTGAACGAGGGACTGCCTCATTTCCCTTATTTCAGCCGAATATCCATAAATCTATCCATATTTGAAATTATATTGTTAGCAATAATTCATACACATACCTACATAGACGAAATAATTTTATACTATGAAATATGAATGCAAATTCACCTATTTAAAATGATTAATAGCAGTTATAATAACTATCTCATTAGTACACTGGGATAACTGTGTGGAAATAATTTTTAAGAGTAAGCGCTAGTGTGTTTAATAAGGCTAAATGCAACCCAACGAATATTTTCTTTGATATCTTCTTGAATGTCCAACACGTTTTTTAACGAAATAAAAACCGTTACCAATAGCTATCAAAGCTATTAGTAATTGGTTTTGCTAGCTTGATGTTTTTAAATTTGACTAAATTTATGGTTGTTTTTTTAAGTATTAGGTATTATGAAAAGCCTTTTCAAAAAAAATATTATAAAAATATAGAACATAAGGACGATATTGTATATGCCTAATATCGGCCTTACGTCCTTATATACTATACCAATACGGGTCAATGATATAATGGTATTCAGGGGTTAAGCCTTTTGATGCTATCAAGCTAATTAACCAATTTATCCGGATAATTTGATTGTCTCAACGGTTTTCCCGGTCCAAAAGTGATTTTTATTTACCTAAAAATCATTCCGTAAAACTCAGTCTCCAATTAAAACTTTTTTATAGAAATGCGAATATTAAAGTTAACCTGAAGGGTTTTATGTTAATGAGTCGTGTTTTGGCTTAAAAAAAACACGGCAGTTCAAAATAGGTTTATCTAGGCTGTTTATAGTTTTAGATTGTGGCTTTTTATTTTGAGCATTTTCATATTATTTAAAAAAAAATGTACAACTTAAGTAACTGTTTAAAAAAGTCAAATATTGTAAATATACAATTAAAAAAAAATTTCATCAGTTATTACCAAAGTTATAAAAGTTCAAAGTTTGACTTTTCCCATTGAAACCTAAATAAAATAATAATAATATAATAGTAATTTACTACAAAATTTTATTCTCGCAAGTTATCGATGAAAAAAACATTGAAATAAATTAAAACTTATAGTATTAGTACCATGTTACTATTGGTTTGATTTTATTTTAATGTTTTTTCATGGATAACTTGACAGAATAAATTTTTGTAGTTAATGTGCATTTTTCTACTTAAAATTTTTCAATAAAATTAAGTATAAGTTCGTTTTGAGGGGAGGTGAATCCAGTGCCGTGCTTAGATATTGTTTAAAAAAATCGCTCATATGAATTCATAAAAATTTTCTCTTAAAAACTGACATATTATGCCTTGTACTTATGGCGTTTTTTGCTCAAAAAATACAGTTTATTAAGATTTACACTTACAATAAATAAAGATTTTACAGGGGTGAGTCGCAAACAAATGGATCACACTGTATATCAATTGGGATAGATTTTGATTTACACAGAAAAATTTGACATTTTAACGCCGGTGGATTGCCAAGTTATAAATTTTTACATTTCCCGTGTAAATATTTTTAATACTTATAATAACAAATATAAAAGGATAAAATATTTTTGATCAGAAGTATCAATAATAAATCAGTAATTGTTAAGTCTAATTAAAATATTAACGCGCAATGTTAATGGTGAAAATTACTTCAAAAATTATTGGAATGGTTACTTTATTTTCGTATAGATGTCGCCTTATTCAAATATTTAATTTAAAAAATTTTTTGGATAATATTAAGTATTTGTCGTAGAAAAACTCGTTTATGAACTTTCCTAGGCACTCATTTAATTAAGCACTCGCTCGCAAGATTGCCGGTGCCTAAATTAAATTCGTGACTAAAATGGCGTTTATCAAACTTGATACATAAAATACTATTTTAGCAATGTTTAAATATTTAAAAAAAATAAAAGCCTTTAAAAATATAAAACATAAAAATCGAAGACAAAAAAATTAACAAAAAAAGTAACTTAAAAGGTGAATAAAACCTAACATAAATATTTTACCAACTCTGAACTAAAAGCAAATAAAACTGCGAATCCCCCAATAAAAACTCTATTAATTATTCAGGCTAAAACAGTAAGTTTAATTTTATAAAACCCGAAACCCGCATAAATCCTTCTTATTTTCATAAAGAAGGGTCAAAATCCCAAACCCGCCGAAAAAACTCAACCGAATTAAAATTCGGAAAGGTTTTTAAGAGATAAATTGCGTCCACTGAGAACAATAAAAGTTAAGTTTTATCGTTTTTTTTTTCTTTTTCAGGCACGACCATCCGACAACAATCGAAAAGTTGGAGAGCGGAACACAAAGCGGCGCGAACGCTCGGTATAATAATGGGAGCTTTCATGCTATGCTGGTTGCCGTTTTTTCTATGGTAAGTTTAAATATATACAGCGAGGAAGTCCTGTTTTTAAATTGAATCGGTGAGCTCTGAAAATAGGGTATCGTCAGGATGCTGCAATGTCACGCGCCTTTTTACAGCCAACCACCTCACCACATTGTGGCATTTTTATCTTCTTTTTATTAAGTTTATTTTATATTAAAATAAATTTGATTTAATTTGATTAGTGCATTTTTGTGAAAATATAACCATTTTATAATATATAACAATTGAATCGGTGAGAATAAGAACAGTACAAGTCCAAAAATTTAATTTTAACAAGTCATTTTCTAAAATCAATTTTAAAGTTTAAAATACATTTTTGTGAGAAGATATAAATTATTTTACAGAATATGAATATTATATTGTATAAAATAGTTAAAATATTCTCAAAAAATGCATTTAGAACTATAAAACTGATTTTTTAAAATATTTTGACAAAAGTTTAAACTTTTGTACTAGTTCATATATTCTTGAAACAATGCATTTTAAACTAAAATTATTTTATCTATTTTGCGTTCATAATGACTTCATTGTAACACCGCTTTCGGTGCTGTAATGAGATACTTTACCCCACCCAAAATTTTGGTTTTATAGGTTGGCTACTTTAAACAACATACTAGTAAAATAATTTTTTGCATATTGGTTATAATATTTTTATGATTTTTCTAGTACTTACGAGACTTTTCTGGCAATAAATTTTGTTTAACACCAAAGAAAATCCTTTTTTTCTTCTTTAACATTAACAGCCGCTTATTGTAAATAAGTAAATTAAGGACGCCATGGCGAATCGATTTTGACATTAACCCTTCAAAATGACTGTGATACCAACTATCTAAAGTAAAATTCGACCAAATTAAATATAAGGTATAAAATTATTTTTTTTTATAGAATTTTTGCAAAATAGATAAAATAGCATAAATAACTCATGTCATAAGACCTTATGACGTCTTATGACATTAGTTATTACTATTACTACTATTATAACACCCACAAAAACGATTTTTTTTACCACTCAATACCATTTTTTTATGTTTATGATCGTTTTACTATGATTTTTTCCAGTGAAAGTGTGGTGTGGTAGGTCTGACCGTTTTTCAGATTTAGAGGAACCATCATAAACATCGTCACTATCCTTATAGTCAGAGTCAAGATACATCGAATCTGTAAAACGGCTAGACCTATAGGTATACCACAAGACCTCTGGTACAATAAAAAAATTAGTCAACTAAAGGCACAAAAATGAAAGAAATAAATTTTTTGAAGTAGATTAGGCATACAGTTGATATTATTTGCGAAAATATGAAGAAAAAAACAAAGAAAATTTTTTTTTCATTTTAACTAACTATATTTTTTAATTATAACTTTAAAAAAACATTTTGCAATATACGGGGGCCAAGATATTTACTTGAATCTAAAAAAATGCATTTTTGCGTATATCTTTGCAAAACAAACTTGCCAGGTGGTGCAAATTTGATTTGAAGTTTTTCAAATACTATGGTCAAAAAGCAGCGTTTTGCGGAAAAAATTCAATAACGTTTTTATTACAAATAAATATTTTTTTTCCTTTTTAATGTGTTAAATAGGAGTTATTACGTATAATAAACTATATTTTGATCAAAAATTTTAAAGGTTTTTATTTTTTAAATGCGTTTTTAGATTAATATACAGAACTGTTTTGCAGAAATAACTCACAAACTTTTTTATTACAAATAAATATTATTTTTTTTCTTTTTAAATGTATTATATAAGTATTATTACGTATAATTAACTATATTTTAATAAAAAAACATAAAGGTTTTTATTTTTTAAATGCGTTTTAGATGGTCCTAAAGCATTAATTGAGGAAATAATCAAAAAAAAATTATTGCAAAGAAATATTTATTTTTTTATTTTTTACTGAATTAAATAAGACTAAATAAAAGGTATAATTAAATATATTTTAATAATAAAATAAAGGTCCTAATTTTTTAATTGCTTTTTTTAGATGTATTTAACTATCTTAACTTTAAGAAATAAATAAAAATAATTTGAACTTTAACATTTATTCCATTAATAATTCCTTAACTTCTTCATCAAGGTCATATTTTACAAATTTTGTATTTCTCTCAAGTAACGTTATTAGGGGGACGGACGATATTAAAAGACGATGAAATATGTTGGTTTTCGATTTGTTTTTCTCGAAAACATATAACGATTTTTTTTTAATCCTTATTTCTAGATTCTTGAGCTTCCTCAGAAAGTAATGTTTAAGATGTAAAACAAGGGATTATTAATTAATTTACAAAATATTTTTCGTTTAAGAGGAGCAAAGGATTATATATTAATTAATATCTACCTTACAATTTGTTACTTATCATATAGTATAGGTATACTTTGTATAAATTAAAAAAAAATTAATACATGTTAAAATATTTATAATAATTAATAAATTCAACTAAAACTTATGAGCATCTGTGGGTACGAAAATCTTGAACGCTCACGATTTAGCCATGCAGCGCGATAAATAAAAATTCATAACTTTTTCATATGTGCGTATATGCTGCTAATTTTTTGTGTACTCATAAAGTAAGGTTTACTGAACAACCTTATGTAGATAACAACGTGGAAATCGGAGGCAATCGTAGTTAAATGCCTATATGAATTTTTTTCTCCCAATTTTATCAATGTGTCTTTAAAACGTTATAAATTTTAATTTTTATTTGTTAATTCAAATAGGAATTTTTATAAATGTAAATTAAGGTGTACTTTAAGTTATTTCAAAAAATATACATTTTTTTGTTCGATTAAAAGATATACTTTATTAAATGTTTGCATAATTTTTAGCCAATTTTACTGTTTTAAAAACATTCTACTTTAAGGTGTCATAAAATCAAAACATAATAATTTAAAAATAATTCTTTACCAAAATCTATTGCTTTAAGATGTTTTTAACAAATTATCGTCATATAAATAACTATAATAAAAAGTTTTTTAAAATAGAAGTTTACTGTCGATTTAATACGAGTATTGTATGCAACCAATTATACATTTTAAGATGTGTCTACTGCTCCTCAGCATCAACTAAATAATATTTAAAAAAAGCACCGTCGCGGAGGTCGATTGGTCCCTTTCATAAAATGTTGTTTAATAAAAATAATTTAGTTAATTTTATTAATTACATTAAAAATCGCCGCGGCGGGCAAATATAAAATATCCGTCGCAACAAACAGTATACGTAGACACTTCCTACATTCAAATGACATTTAATTTGATCATCAAATGGCATTTGATTTAATCATCAATATTAATTATTAGTATTATTAAATGTGATTTCGGATAAAATTTAATATGCACCTCGGCATTAAAGTTATATTTTTTTGGCTTTCGCCTCGGAAAATATTTACCACATTCGTGATAATACTTTGACGGTGTGACTTATATTTCCTGGGTCTCCAAAAATGTTTAAAAAATGTCTAAATTTTGTTTTAAATAGTGGTACAACAAAAATATTGTTTAATTTTTGCGGAAGCTAAACAGAAGCAAATGCGAAGCAAAAGTATTTCATAAAAAATATGTGCATTTTTATTTTTTTAATAATTTAATATTCATTAAATATATTGTTTCTATAAAGTTTCTATAAGCTTCCGTTAAAAAAGTTAAAGAACCAGGTACAGAAGCGGATGTGAAAAAGTTTGCAGAACATCTGCAGTTATGGAAGCAGAAGCAGAGGTAGTTTTAAGACCACTTATTTGGTTAAGAACATTTTTGGTGTTTCAAAAAAGAATAAAAATTTATTTCCTAACTTATAAACTTTTTAAACAAAACAAAAGATACCTAAAATGACTTTTTCTGACATAAACTTTCCCATTGCCAGTTCTCGAGTGCTTCGTGTGTTTGTAAATTTTTTGGATGGAAAGTAAACTCGCAAAACGCCACGCATTTATAAAGATTAAATAAAATTTTGTACAGTATACCGACCAAATAAAATTTTATTCTCAAAGGGATTCCAAATCTCATCTCATATTGGTATCGCGTTTTTCAATAGGAAACGTACAGGGTTTTTATATCAATACCTCCCATTTTTATATGCGGCGTAATATAAAATATAAAATATAAAAAGTTTATCACGCGCTGCATTTTATTTAAGAAAAAAAATAAAATTAAAAGGAGCATTCTGGAGAATGCAAATCATAAAGATAAAGTTTTCGTAATAAACGAGAACTGCAGCAGCTTTATGAAGAATGTTGTTTGTTGTACACATATGTGCACCATTGAAAAGTTTTTACTTTGAGGTATATTAATAATATACTCTAAAACAATGCCAACTTGTTATTTATAAATATGCAAAATATTTAATTTTTTTGTTAGTTCTAAAATATATGTATATTTACACAAGACCAAAATTGCATACTTTTAAAAATGGTCTTATAACAAAGTTTGGACATTATTTTAGTCGATAAGTATACCGTGTTCAAAGTTATCTACTCACCATTATTATTGAAGCTACAAAGGATTAATTAGAAAATTGGTGGCAGTTTTTCTTTTAAATAAAATAATAAAAACAGAATAACAATTAAACCTGGGTTTCCCAAATATTCACAAAAATAACGTTTTTTTAATGTTACACCATGTATATTTTTACATATTTTGAAAGGCAATTTTGTCAGATTTTTTTTTAAACATTGAAGCAATGACACCACATAGAACTTCTGTAATAAAATATGTACCGTTCTTTAATGTTAATTTTTGAATATTTCAGAAACAGTTAAAGATAGGTGGGTGAATCTCACGAAATATCCCCCGATGGTGATATTTAATAAAACTAAATGAGTTTGACCTACACTTTTATTATGTTTTGATCTTTCATAATTAAGTAGATATTACAGCTCAGGTCCTAGATTTTTAACAGCAATTAATTATTTTTTACAAGGTTTTAAAAGTCTAAAACCTATCCTCCGTGAATGGTAATCTTTCTAGGTTAACCTATGTATATGTATATGTTTTCAAATATC